TTGAAACCCTCAGCGTGGGAAGGCCCCTCCTTTTCCCCCCTCCCCCTTCTTCTAACCCCCCCCTCCCTTCCTTCTACTTCTTCCTCTTTCCTCTCCTCCTCCATTCCCCTCTTTTTTTTTGGTTTTAACTCGGGGGGTTCCAAATTTTTAAATTTTTTCCCCTTTTTCTGTTGACCCTTTATATATTCCAATATTGGGCCACGAAAAATTTTATCATAATTTTTTAAAAACGATTTTTCTCCTTTTTTTTTAATGGGTTTTTTTCTTGGGGGTTTTAATTGGGTTTTTTTATGCCCCGTTTTTTTGTTTTTTTTGAGTTTTTTTTTATTCTTTCGTTAGGCTTTTATATTTTTTAAAGCAGTTTTTTTTTAATTTTTTTTTTGTTTTTTTGGGGATATTTTTGTTTATTGGATTTGGTTTAAAAATTTGTTTTATAAAAGGGGGTTTAACTGTGGTGGGGGGAAATTGTGAATGTTATAATTGTTTTAAAGTTTTAATTGTTATAGATATTGTTATTTAAACGTTAAAAGATGGGTTTTTTATAATTATAATTATGGTTACTTTTTGGGGGGGTTTTTTTTATAATTATTATTAATGAGGCTTTTTATATTTAAAATTTTTGTAATAGGTTATAAATTACGGTTTTAGTCGTTATAGTGCTATTGTTACGTTATAATATGCTTGATAAAACCCCTTTTAATTGGGTATTATGATGTTTTGAAAAAGGGTATAGTTACCAAAGTTTTACTTTAAACTGTTATGGTGTTATCAATGGTTGTTTTAAAATTTCTAAAGTGTTAGGATATGGTTTTTTAAAATTTTTAATAACCCTTTAAAAAGGTAAACAGGGTAGACAGGTGGTTGAAAAAGGTAGACAGGGGAGACAAAGTTTTATAAAGGGGAGACCGGTAGATAGGGTAGAAAAAGGGAGACCCGGGTTGTAAAGGGGCCTCAGCTGTGGTTCTTGTTTTCCTTTCTTTGTCCCTTTTTTCAATTTTTTGAGTCCAGTGGCAATTAACCTTGGGTTATGGGGGGATTTGGTTTTTGGTTGGGTTGGGGTTGGTTGGTTTTGGGGTGGTGGTTTTGTTGTTGGGGGTGGTTTTTTTTTGGGGTTTGGGTTTTTGGGGTTGGGTTTTTTGGTTTTTTGGTTTGGGGGTGTGGTTGTTTTTATGGTTTGGGGGTTTTTTGTTTGGGGGGGGTTGTGTTTTTTTTTTTGTTGGTGGTGGTGGTTGTGTTGTTGGGGGTTTTTTGTGGTGGGGGGTTGGTTGGGTTGGGGGGTGGTTGTTTTTGTTGTTGTTGGTGGTGGATGGTTGTTGGGGGTTGTTGGTGGTTTTGGGTTTTTGTTGTTGGGGGTTTGGTTTTGGTTTTTGTGGGTTTGTGGGGGGTTGTTTTTGTTGGTGGTGGTTTTGTTTGTTGGTTTGGGGGTGGTGGTTTGTTTTTGTTTGGTGGTGGTGGTTATTGTTGGGGTTGGGGGGGTTGTGTTGTTGTTGGTGGTGGTTGGGGGGTGGTGTTGTTTTTGGTGGGGGGGGTTGTGTTTTTGGTGGTGGTGGGTTTTTGTTGTTATTTGTGGTGGTTGTGTTGTTGGGGTTTGGGGGGTGTGTTGTTTGGGGGTGGGGTTTGTTTTTTGTGGGGGTGGTTGTGTTTGTTGGTGGTGGTTGGGGTGTTTTGGGGGTGGGGTTGTGTTGTTGGTGTGGTGGTTGTGTTGGTTGGGTGGTGGTTTTGGGTTTTTGTTTTTTGGTGGTAGGTTTGGGGGTTGGGGGTTGTGGTTTTTGGTGTGGTTTGTGTTGTTGGTTTTTTTTGGGGGTTTTGTTTTGGTGGTGGTGGTTTTTGTGGGTTTGGGGTGGTGGTTTTGTTGTTGGTGGTGGTGGGTTGTGTTGGTTTGGGGGTGGTTGTGTTTTTGGGGGTGGGGGGTTTTGGGTTTTTGGGTTTGGTGGTGGGGGGTTGGGTTTGTTGTTTGGTGGTGGGTTGTGGGTTTTTAGGGGGTGGTTGTGTTTGGTTTGGGGGTGGTTTTTTTGTTTGGGGTGGTGGGTCTTTATTTGGTTTTTTGTTTGGGGGGGTTGGTTTGGTTTTTTGAAAGGGTGGTTTGGGTGGTTTTGGTTTAAGGGGAAAAAAATCAAAAGACCTTTACTTTCATCAAAAGGAACTCCTTTGAAAGGGGAAAAAAAGAGCCCCTTTACTGTCATCAAGGTATCTTTCCCTTTAAGGGGGCAAAAACCCAAAAAAGGTACCTTGACCGTCAACAAGGTACTCTTGCTTTTAAGGGAAAAATTTAAAGAACCTTGACTGTCAAACAAGGAACTCGCTTTTAAGGGGCAAAAACAAGAAATACCCTTTTCTGTCATTTAAGGTAATCTTGCTTGAAGGGGGGAAAAATCAAGAAATACCTTGACTGTCATCAAGGTACTCTTGCTTGAATGGGAAACATCAAGAGTACCTTGACTGTCATCAAGGTACTCTTCCTTGAAGTGGCAACATCAAGAGTACCTTGACTGTCATCAAGGTACTCTTGCTTGAATGGGAAACATCAAGAGTACCTTGACTGTCATCAAGGTACTCTTGCTTGAAGTTGCAACATCAAGAGTACCTTGACTGTCATCAAGGTACTCTTGCTTGAAGGGGCAACATCAAGAGTACCTTGACTGTCATCAAGGTACTCTTGCTTGAAGGGGCAACATAAAGAGTACCTTGACTGTCATCAAGGTACTCTTGCTTGAAGTGGCAACATCAAGAGTACCTTGACTGTCATCAAGGTACTCTTGCTTGAAGTGACAACATCAAGAGTACCTTGACTGTCATCAAGGTACTCTTGCTTGAAGGGGCAACATCAAGAGTACCTTGACTGTCATCAAGGTACTCTTGCTTGAAGGGGCAACATCAAGAGTACCTTGACTGTCATCAAGGTACTCTTGCTTGAAGGGGCAACATCAAGAGTACCTTGACTGTCATCAAGGTACTCTTGCTTGAAGTGGCAACATCAAGAGTACCTTGACTGTCATCAAGGTACTCTTGCTTGAAGTGGCAACATCAAGAGTACCTTGACTGTCATCAAGGTACTCTTGCTTGAAGAGGCAACATCAAGAATACCTTGACTGTCATCAAGGTACTCTTGCTTGAAGGGGCAACATCAAGATACCTTGACTGTCATCAAGGTACTCTTGCTTGAAGGGGCAACATCAAGAGTACCTTGACTGTCATCAAGGTACTCTTGCTTGAAGGGGCAACATCAAGAGTACCTTGACTGTCATCAAGGTACTCTTGCTTGAAGGGTTACCAAGATCAATATCCTCAGTGAGTGACGGACCAGCGTCAGCATGAATTCTTCATGGCGGTATTGATCTCTTGCGTGTCAAAGGTAGGTGCCCTTGATGCCGGTGAAGGGCTCTTGATCCCAGGGACAGAAGCTGCCTCCCTCTTGCCTGTCATCGAATCTGACAGCCTTGTATCCTCCGGTGTACTGTGTGACACCCACGGGTTTATCGCCTCCCTTATTAATACAATAATAATACTTCATACACACGTGTACACATGCAAGTCCCCTTCCACACACACACACATACACACACACGAGTCACAGGGATGTTAGAAAGTATTTCTTCAGTCATAGAGTTGTCAGGAAGCGGAACAATCTGGAGAGTGCTGTAGCGGAGGCAGGATCCATACACAGTTTTAAGAAGAGGTATGGTAAAGCTCTTGGAGCAGTATGAGTGGACCTAGTATTGACCAGCGAAGAGGCGGGGCCAGGAGCTGTGAATCGACCCCTGCAACCAAAAATAGGTGAGTATAATATATATATATATATATATATATATATATATATATATATATATATATATATATATATATATATACACACACACACACGCCCTGAATGTCCGTTTAGGATCGTCAGTCAGTTCAACGTGTTCTTTGACTGGGCCGTCATGTTCACTCACCCTCCGTAACAGAACACCAGTGTATGGGAAGCGAGAGAGGACACAGTGTTCCATTGTGATCTCTTCACCACCGCTGGACGACACCCGAACACACGGATGCAACTTTCAACAATGTTCGGAAATTTCATGTTTTCTGGCTTTTTTTTTTTTGGCTGAGTAGCCCTTCCCCCTCCTAAACACACACACACACACCACACACACACACACACACACACACACACACACACACACACACACACTTTAACACTGTAGTAGATTAAAACATCCCTAGACACAACGGGGGGAGCGGGGGTAACGAGATAAAAATCAAGACCAAGTCAGTTGCAAACTCTCAATAAAGAATAAAGCTTTCTCTGACCTAATCTTCCAATATTCTCAGCTGCATTAGTAGCGACTGTGCGGGAAAAAATCTTTTTATAATAATTTATACAAGTCTGGTCATCACCTGTGTGGGCGAAACGTTGTCAATAAAGGATCACATTAAACTGCATATGTGTTCATATTTCCACTGTGTCGGTATTTATAACATTTATTTCCATCTGGTCATCACCTACTAGGCTAATCAAGTCTTTATACTTGACAGCTGTGGAGCGTCAACATTCACATATTTCCTGCCGTACGAGGTATGTATGTTTTAATATTCTAAGTGAGTTTCAATCCTATATAAAAGAAAGGTGTATGTGAATTGTAGGAGTGCTGTGGGATTGTTGTGGGAGGTGCTGTGGGAGATGGGTGAGGTGCTGTGGGAGGTGTGGGAGTGCTTTGGGAGATGGGGCAGTTGTGGGAGGTGCTGTGGGAAATGGGGAGGTGCTGTGGGAGATGGGGGAGGTGCTGTGGGAGTTGCTCTGGGCGATGGGGGAGGTACTGTGAGAGGTACTGTGGGAGATGGGGGAGGTGCTGTGGGAGATGGGGGAGGTGCTGTTGGAGACGGGGGAGGTGCTGTTGGAGACGGGGGAGGTGCTGTGGGAGATGGGGAGGTGCTGTGGGAGATGGGGAGGCGCTGTGGGAGTGCTGTGGGAGGAATGCTGGGTGGCTGGCTGGCAGGTTCCAGCGTCAGTAGAAGGTGCTGCCGCGTCACGGTAACATACACAACACTGCGCCGTTCTCCGCCACACTCGCACACACCCCGCGCTATACTTCCCAACTTTCCGCCACTGCCTGGTTTCTCCCCTCCTAAAAAAAGACAGAGAACCCTACACCCGCCTGGGCTTAAATGGACGGCAAGATGTAGCCAGTGTACCGCCTGGGACTACAGCAAGACTTCTAACTTCAAAAAAGTTTCGCTTGTGATGTAGGCAAACAAAAATGTTACACAAAAAATAACAGTAGGGAAGACTTGGAAACAGAAGAATGGCGTGACAGAGAGTGTTTAAACCTCTCTCTCAATCCCTCCCTTTTACTCCCCTTTCCCTCCTTTCCTCCCCTCTCCCAAGCAAAGATAATCATCATCAAGATTTAAGAACACAAAAATATATATAAAAAACAGTTTAGTTGTCCCTAACGAGCAGACAACACGGAGATTTCAGAACTATTTATGGCAACATTTACTAAAAAAAAAATATATATATATATATATACATATTTTTTCCCACTTCTGGAGAAAGTGTGTGTGATACAAGGTGAAGTGACACTTGAAGTGATACTGAAGTGACGCTGAGGTGATACTGAGGTGACACTAAAGTGATACTGAGGTGACGCTACTTAGGTCTCATTTACCACGTGTGTTGTGATAAGAGGGAGTAAGGGGAGAGTGATGAAGGAGAAATAGGGAGGAGATAAAAGGGGGAGGGGGTTAGCGAGGGGACTGAGTCCAGCGGGAGACACTCAGAAGGGTGAGGGGAAGTGTGGAGAAGTGAGGATAGACCTGCCTGACGATAACCACAGATATGAACACAGTCTTCGGCCTGGTTGTCACTCTCGCGGTCTCTGTCCACTTGGGTGAGTACTCCAAACCCGTGTGTTGTACTACAGTTAACTAAATGGCTATGTCTAGTTACCCATGTGTCTAAATCCATGAATGGTACACAGTGCCGACAAGGTGATACACAAGTGCTACATCTGGGTATCTTTATTTGTAGACGTTTCGCAATCCAGTGCCTTGATCAATACAAATCCATGGATGTACTCTACGGCGCTGTTCAACTCCAAAGTTGAGGGACTGATAACCTCATCTTTTATCTAGAGTTCTACAGTCTTCCCATTACATCCATGGATTTGTATTGATAAAGCCACTGGATAGCGAAACGTCTACAAATAAAGATACCCAGACATTGCACATTTGCCTAAGTCCAATTTGACATACCGTTTAGTCTAAATTAGCGTATTGTTTGGTCCAGTCTGTTCGGTCTGGAGACCCGTGTTGTTTGGTCCTGTTACCAGCCCACTGTACAGGGTGACCCAAAAGTCTGGATACACACTTCTGGACTCTTATAGTCATGTGTTTCCAGACTTTCAGGTCACCCTGTACTTCATTATCTATTATACTCTCACGAATTCCATTTTCCTATAATCTACTGCATTATAGGAATTATTTAAATTTTTTATGTCGACCAGCTAGCTATCCTGCCTGGTGATTGTTGTCACCGATGATGGAGTGTGAGGCACCGAAAAGTTTGGATGAGGCATGAAGATATTTGGATAATAAACGATGATATTCACCAAGACTTTGGTGCCTCTTTCTCAAGTCCTCTTATATTCCCAAGAGAAAAATCTCTTTTCGAAAGTTATATATATATATATATATATATATATATATATATATATATATATATATATATATATATATAATATATATATATATATATATATATATAATATATAATAATATATTAATATATATATATATTAAAATATTATATATTAATATAATATATATATATATATATATTTAATGTCGTGCCGAATATGTAAAACTGGTCAATTAGCAAGAACTCATTTAAAATTAAGCCTTTTCTAAAATTTTCTCTTATACGTTTAAAGATATAATTTTTTCATTAATGTTAATGTAAAAATTTTTAATTTTGCACCAAAAGAATCTTAGAAAACTTACCTAACCTTATTATAACAAGAACAATTTATTTTAGCCTAACCTAACTATATATATTTTAGATTTGTTTACAATAATTTAATACTAAACAAACACAGTGAAATATATTTTTTTCGTTAAGTTCAGAATGATTTTGGCGAAATTATTGCATACACAAATTTTCATTTGTCCTATATGGCAAGATGAGCGTTGCTATTTAAGCCAAAATCGCAAGTTCTGCCTATTCGGCACGACATTATATATATATATATATATATATATTATATATATATATATATATATATATTATATATATATATATATATATATAATAATAATAATAATAATCCACATGGAGACAAACTAAAAAAACTAATTGATCTGTATATTTTGATAGTGGAGGGAGGGCGGGATAGGGGTCTCCCTTGGAAAGACTGGAGGGAGTGGGTAAAGGAGGTTTTGTATGCGAGTGGCTTGGACATCCAGCACATAATAGTGAGTGAAGGCAAGTGGTGTTTATGACATAATGTGCTGTTGGAGTGTGTACAAGGTAACATTTATGAAGGAATTCAGGGAAACCGGTTAGCCGTACCCGAGTCCTGGAGGAGGGAAGTACAGTGCCTGCACTCTGAAAGAGGGGTGGGGATCTTTGCAGTTTTGAGGGGCATCTGAGTTGTAGTATTGGTGCGCCTCTGTAAGACAGTAATAGTCTGAGTGAAGGTGTACGCGTTTCTTTTTCGGGTAACTCGAGCTAGGCGTGAGAAAGCCAGCGGTAAAGACACACACACACACACACACACACACACACACACACACACACACACACACATACATTGATATTACTCTACCTCACCATAATATTACTCTCCCTCACCATATTACTCTCCCTCACTATATTACTTTCCCTCACCATAATATTACTTTCCCTCATCATAATATTACTCTTCACTATATTACTCTCCCTCACCATAATATTACTCTCCCTCACCATAATATTACTTTCCCTCACCATAATATTACTCTCCCTCACCATAATATTACTTTCCCTCACCATAATATTACTCTCCCTCACCATAATATTACTTTCCCCTCACCATAATATTACTCTCCCTCACCATAATATTACTTTCCCTCACCATAATATTACTCTCCCTCACCATAATATTACTTTCCCTCACCATAATATTACTCTCCCTCACCATAATATTACTCTCCCTCACCATAATATTACTCTCCCTCACCATAATATTACTTCCCTCACCATAATATTACTCTCCCTCACCATAATATTACTCTCCCTCCAAATATTACTCCCCCAATATTATCTCCCTCCCAATTACTCCCTCATATATTACCTCCCCCCTAAATTTTTCTCCCCCCCTTTTAAATTTAAAAATTTTTAATTTAAAAAAATTTTAATAAAAAAAATTTTTATTCCCCTAAACCCAAAAATTATTTTTAATATTATCTCCCTCCCATTTTACTTCCCCCCCCATATTCTTCCTCCCCAAATTTTTTAACTTTTCCCCTAAAACCCTATAATATTAACCCTTTACTCTCCCACCTTTTAATTTTTTCTCCCTAAATTTTTTTTAATAATTATTTCCCCCTCATTTAAAAATTTATCTCCCTCCCCATATTATTTTTTCAAAAATTTTTCTCCCCATAATTACCCCCTCCCAATTCCCCCTCCCCCCCATTTATCTCCCTACATAAAAAAATTACTTCCCCCCCCTAATTTATCCCCTCCCTTATTTATATTTTATCCCCCTCCCCCAAATATTACCCCCCTCCCTTTTAACTTTTAAAAAATTTCCCCCTTTTATTTTTAATATTAATTCCCTTCCCCCATTTTATATTACTCCCCCTCCCCATAATATTACCCCCTCCCATAATTATTTCTCAATTATTAAATCCCTCACCATAAATTTTACCCCCATATTTTTTACCTTTTTCTCCCTCACTAAAATTTTTTATTTATTTCTCCAAACCTTATCTTTACTCCCCCTTTTTTCCCCCCTCAATAAAAACTCCCCTCACATTTTTCATAAAATTACCCCCCTCCCCAAAAATTCCTTTCCCCCACCAAAATATCTATTTACCCTCTCCCATAAATATTACCCCACCCAATAATAATTTATCCCAAATACCCCCCCTATAAAATTAATTTCCCCCAACTTTAAAAACCTAAAAAATTTCTCCCCCATTATAACCCCCCCAATAACCACAAAACCCCTCCAAAAAAATTTTTCCCCCCCTTAAAATTTTTACCCAAAAACCCCACAAATTTTACCCCCCCAAAAATTTTACTCCCACCCCCTCCCAAATTTCCTCCCCCTTTAAAACCCCACTTTTTAACTCCCCTCCAAAACCCCCCTTTAACCCCTCCAAAAACCCCCTAAAACCCCCCAAATTACCTCCTTCCCCATATTATTTCCCCTCACATTTACCCCCCCACTAATACCCCCACTATATTCTCTTCCCCAAAATTATTCCCTCAAAAAAAATTTTTACTCTCCCTCATTTAAATTACCCCCCTCCCCCTAAAATTCCCTTCCCTCCTATAATTTACTCCCCCTCCTAAATACTCTCCCTCCCAAAAATATTACCCCCTCACTAAATTTTACCCCCTCCCCATAAATTACTCTCCCTCCATAAAATTACTCCCCCCACTTATTTCTCCTCACTAAAATATTATCCCCCTCACCATAATATTTTCCCTCATATATTTTACTCTCCCCCTATATTACTCTCCTCACTAAATTTTTACTCCCCCTCCCCATAATATTACCCCCCTATATAAATTTTAAACTCCCTCCCCATAATATTCTTATGCGTGATTTTGCCTAAACGTTGAGTTTTTATTTATTTTTTTCCCTTGTGCTGACTGGTAAAAATTTGGGTAAATTGGGTTGGCAGGATTATTTTTATTGTGTGAATTGATTGCTGCCTGGTGGGGGTGTGTGTGTGTGTGTGTGTGTGTGTGGGTGTGTGTGTGTGTTGTGTGTGCTGTCGTGTGGTTGTGTGTGTGTTGTGTGGTTGTGTGTGTGTTGTGTGTGTGTTGTGTGTGTTGTGTGTTGTGTGTGTGTTTGTGTGTGTGTTGTTGTGGTTTGTGTGTGTTGTGTGTGTTGTGTGTGAGTTGTGTGTGTTGTGTTGTGTGTTGTGTGGTGTTGTGTGTGTGTTGTGTGTGTGTTTGTGTGTGTTGTGTGTGTGTTTGTGGGGGTGTGTTGTGTGGTGGTGTTGTTGTGTTTAGTGTGTGTGGTTGTGTGTGTTTGTGTGTGTTGGTGTGTGTTGTGTGTGTGTTGGTGTGTGTTGTGTGTGTGTTGTGTGTGTGTTGTGTGTGTGTAGTGTGTGTGTTTGTGTGTGTTGTGTGTGTTTGTGTGTGTTTGTGGTGTGTGTTGTGTGTGGTGTGTGTGTTGTGTGGTGTTGTGTGGCGTTGTGTGTGTTTTTGTGTGTCTGTGTTTACCTGTGTTTGCAAGGTAGTTTCAGCTCCTGGCACCCTTTGTCTCTGCAGTCGGACACTGGGTCTTTCTCTCGTGCTGCCTTTGCCTGCATATTTATGCATAAGCCATGTATGGATTCTGCCTCTACCACTTTGCTGTCTAGGTCGTTCTGCTTCCTGACATCTCTAAGGCTAAAGTAGTAGTTCCCAACATCTCTGTGACTAGTATATGCTTTTAACTTCCAGCTAAATGTTTTTGATTCCAATGATAATACTTCCCTAAATATTCTGTCCAGCTCCTCGCAAACTTCCCGGTCATTCCTAGTGAGCTTCCCTCCTTCCTTCCTTCTTCATCCTCATTACCTGGTTCTTCACAGTTGTCTGCCTGATGTGGTTGTCCATCAACTTTGACTTTTGATGCTACGTCGTTCTCAAATTGTCGTTCAACCTCTCTCTCACCTTCGTGTATAT